TGTTCATGCTGACGGGCGAATACGATTGGAGCAATACACCTGCCGTGTCTCAAGCAACGTGTGACAAGATCCCCGGCGCGAGACACAAAGCTATGCCCGACATTGGACATTTTCCAGCGACGGAAAAGCCGCAGAAATTCGTACCGCATCTTTTGGAAGCGATCGATTGGATTCGTCATGTAAGGATGCAGGATGGGGTGGGCAGTATGGAGCGAAATGTGGGAGTGGGGATTGCAGCGGAACGGGGGTGTTGATATAGGAAGATTTTATGCGCGGCTTCGAGTTGCTCATTCAACATGGCGCGGAGAAAGTATTTGCTTATTTCAAAGTTCACCCTATTGAATTGGATCCACAACTTTCTAGTAATAGTGTTTGAGGTTTCATGTTTCTTTTCAACATCGTGCAATACCTATCTACACCAAGAAAATCTGGATATGAAAAGGAAGCTCTTTAGTACCTCATCCCTAGATCCTATTAAGACCTATCTATGCAGATAATACTATATACTGTCTCTCTTTCCCCAAAGTCTCACACAGAATACAATAGCCCTCTGAGAACTCTTCCACCAACTCTTCCGCCAAATTTTCCCACTCGATTCTTTGAGTTTCAAAGCCCTATTTCCATTCTACCACTCTATGTCCCATCAAAGGCGAGGGCATGTAAAGAAACGTACTACGTTTTCAGTTGTACAAAAGAATATCATGATCCATGCATGAAGTTCAAAGTTCAAAACTAATAGTCATCGTGGGAACTATTCAAACCGGATGTGAAAGAGAATATAAAATTAGATTTACGCTATCCAGATATCTTCATTTAATATCAAAAGCCTATCCAATCCAACCCACTCCCCCCCTTCTAAATATACAAAAATCTCACAATCATACATAAATACACCCACTAACCCATCCCCCCATCCCCATCCCCACCCCTAGCCCCACAATCTACTTATCCTCCCCATCACCATCCTCCTCCTCCGGCTTCTCCTCCAACACCACCTTCGTAACCTTCGTACCCTTCTTCTCCCCATCACTCATCGTAATCTTATACTTCCCACCCAGCACCAAATCCTTCGCCACAATCTCTCTCGTTCTGCCCAAACTCTCAATATCACTAATCCTCTGCAACGTCGCTTCGAGATGTTTTTCGAAACCTTCTTCGGCGCAGATACTACGGAAAGCTTGTTGCATGGGCACGGAATCCGCGCGCACCATCGCTTTCGAGGTAATGGTAAAGAGATTCACGTGATCGTATTGCTGGATGAAATCTGCGCGCGTCATGATCTGGCGGGCTTTGTGGAGTGGGATTTCAGGGATATTATGCGAGCCGTCGTCGATATAGGTGGGTGTATCTTTTTCGGCGGCGACGAGCGCTTGTGCTAGGACCATGGCTGCGGACTGGGGGGTGTGAGTGTGAGTGTGAGGGATGGAAGGAGGGGGAATATACTTACGGCGTATTTTTGTTGGTCCATTACGTCGTCGTCCATTTCCATACCGAGGATCCAACATTGGTTTAGGAACCAGCGGCGTTCGGTGTCGATGATGTTGTTGCATGTTTCGAGCATATCCGAGGATTTGGCAACTCGGTTCAAGAATGTAAGACGGCCACCTACGCGGTTGTAGACCTCATTTAGGATTTCAGTAGAAGGTGTTTCGGCATAGTATTTTTGACGATATCTTTGGAGAGCAGACACAGCCAGGCTACGTGGAAGATCGGGAATCGTGGTAACTTCCATACGGGTTGCTAGTAACTTTAGTCTTTCATAAACCCAATAGTCATCACTATTGAAAACCATAGTGACTAAGTTGGAAGCAGCCCATTGCTCGGCACGTTGTTGTAACAGTTCGAGTAGGTCCTTGCCGTTCTCGTCGTCTCGGAGAAGGTGTATCGCATTTATAATGACAATCTGAGATCGTAAGTATTGAGTCATCATCCAGAGCATATCTCAGCCGGCATTGTCAGATCAAAAAAGACGTAAAAGCTCACCAAAGGTCCACGACCAGTACTTCGTCTCTTCAATGCAACTTTCTCCAACTTGTTCATTGCTCTTTCAATATCCAACAAAGCTGTGCTATCTCTTGGTCCTCGTTCAGAGAAGTACGATCCGATGTAATCCTCATTAAATTCAAAATTGAGTGCCTTTCCTAAACGTACTCTGAAAATCTCAGGGTCCGCATGTGCTTCAAACATACTGACTCCTTCACCATCAATTTTCTGCATGGCCTCGAGCAACATACTGGATTTGCCTACACCCTTTTCTCCGATCAATAGATGATAGTGTCCACGATCTTCTCCGTGCACTATTTTGTCAATTTTCTCTTGCTCTGCACGGTGAATCCTATGTTTAATGGGAGTCAGTGACGTCTACCAATTCGAACACAAATTTTGGAAGAAAAAGAAGAACAAAAGTTAAATTAAGGAGAAGATAAGAATTCTGAGAAAGGAAAAATTGGTGTTCCACTTAAGGAACAGGAGTAAGTATTAAAAGCAGCAAAACTTGTGTACGAACCAATGTTCATCATCGTCAGCTTCATACCTCTTTGGCATCTGTTTCGTAGTTGCGGCAAGGTCTAGAACTGGATCACCCGGCTTGAAGGCAATTTCCATCTTGTGAATAACCATCCATTTGTAGAACCTATGATAGAGATAACCACCTAGGGCAAATCCTGTTCCAAGTACAATGATAGATGCAAAGGCTGTCAAGGCAGCGTCGAGCATTTTAGTCTTAGCATTGAAAGGTTCATCATGTGACGAGTAATCTTTTCGATCCTTCTGATATTGATTATGGGATGATTCATTCTCGGGATTACCTGTATATACTGCCAGATTAATATTTTTCGAGGACAATTGAAAATAAAAGCAAGAGGTAAACGTTGTTGGGAGCACGTGGGTTTCACGTATGAAGAGATAGTGATATGCACTATAAGTGCTAGCTTTTAGATGTGCATGTCTGCCATCTATCTAGATCGGTATCATCCGATTAATCTATTTGAAGCATTCAACATAGCTTATGCAATGTTGACAGCCATAGGTTGTAGATAAACTGAGACATCCCCATTGAAAACCCAGCTTCCGATGAAAAGGAGCGAGTCAGACAAGTAATTGAATGCCAAGCAATACAGGGCAAGGACGGAGAATTGAAAAAAGGGACAAACTCACGCTTTCCTGAATTGAACCCATTTGAATTATGTTCTGAAGCGGCATCTTTCGAGAGACATCGTAGTTGTGATTGTGTGATGATGGGCTTTCGTGTTTGTAACCAATAGCGCGTTGTAGAGGCGCGTATGGTTCTCTGGACCACGGCTCTTTGAATGACTGAAGGTTGCATCGCTAACCTTTCCCTTTCCCCTTTTCTTTCTCTAGCTTAGGACGGATGTATGTATGAGAGACCTGGAGTGGAAAAGAAGTGTCAAGGAAATCGTGTCGATTGGATATAATGATCCGAAATCATTTCCGTGTACTTTTGTTTTTGGTGGTTGTGTTTGTTGTTTAGTAGGGGCTTTGGGTTTTGGTGAATTATGGTCAAAGTTTGATGTTCGTTCGTAATCTGCTTGGCGGCGTGAGAGCTTAAGCTATGGTAAATTACTCGTAAAGATTCCGACCAAAGTTGTGATTGAATTTTGAAACAAGTGATATTATGGCACGATAGATATTCACGGAAGCTCTAGGTAGGCAGGCACTTGGGATTCATCTCAGCTTGAGATCTCTCAGGTTCATATCGAGACAATGGGACTGAACTTTGCTTGGGTTCTCGTGAATTCCTATAATTAGATCACCACAGTAAACAGAATCCTGGGTAACCTTCCCGTGTGGTGGTGAGCGGATGATTACTACCTGGCAGTCCATTCTTTTGGGGTAAGAAGGTTTTGGGGTAAGAAGCAGAATCCGGTGTGATGAAGTGATAAGGTTAGCGGGCATAGCGTATTACCATCCAGCAATCATCTCTAGATTTGCTTCTTCTCGCGGATCACCGTCGGATCACCGCAGCTGTCAATACAAGTTCGGATTCAATTGTGACATACTGTTCGCTGCAAACATTCTAGTGTGACTTTACTGCCATCTACTTACGCAGCATCCTCAAGACTTGTAACGTTCATCTGCTCCCAGGTCCTCGAGAGGTTTGACTCTGCAGAGTCTAAAAAGAGCTCAGAGTGCAGAAACACAATCAAATGGAGCGGGATGACGGCCGAGATCTAATAATACATGAACAATGATCTGACAATAAAATCCATGGGGATGCTGATCCTAGCCTGGTAATAGACACAACCAAAGTTGGGCCCAATTTTTCCTGTACGGTGACCCTTCATTACCGTCCTTACCACGACACACAATTGACCACTTATTACCTTACAACACCATGGTAAACTCTTCAGATCTTCAACCATATAACCATCGTTTCACATATACCTGTAAACATCAAGAGCACTTCACACTGCTTCCTTCTACATGCTTCTAGAGAAGGACCTTCGCATTACTAGTGACGGCAATTAACATCTAGACATCATCTTTCCTGCACGTACCCTAAAGTCCTTTCCCCTTTCGTTTAAAATGATTTTTTGAGCTGCATCTACCTAGGTAGCTTTACGTCGTCGACTATTCAAAGCCATGTGGTAAATTGATGGGTGAAGAAATTCCGACATGAAAGCTAATATTTCCGATGCAAGATATACGGGATACCCGTCATACTCGACCACTTCAATAACCAATATATTGACTGCTTCTACCTTCAAACCATGCATAAACAATGTTGGGGAGTAAATATTCTTCGTTGGGATACTTTTGGACGACTTGAAGCTGCACGTCAGAATGCATGATCATGTGAAATATGCAGCCAATGCCATATATGGATACGCTCTGGCTGTGCACAACCCAAAATCCCTTGGAACGGATCGTCATTCAGTTGCCGGGACCCATCTAGCGATACTGTAAGAATTTCGATCAGGAAACATTATTGAGCATGGATCGCTCAAAGCAGCGGATCATGGCCACATATATGATCCATTGCTTTTCGTTCTAGTCAGACGAATGATGGGTAAGATGATATATCTCTCCCAACCCTACATATCAGTCAGAACTTTCCATCATATGTCAAATTCTCCATCTCCGGATCATCTACTAGCTAGGATACCTTGCTGTTCCCCGTTTGCCATGCGGATGCCAACATCAAATGTGGGTACCGAGTCAACGACGAGTGACAATATTGAGGTATCAAGAAAAGCAGATGATAGCTAGATATCTAGTACAAGTCCCCTTCCACATAGTATTATTGAGAGTCTTCCTTCAAACATTTGCTACTTGCATCAATTCTTCCCAGACTATAGTTGGTACACAACTGGAAGGATTCCAACAATACTGCTGTATCGTCTGATGTATAGTTGCTGGATGACAATTTGGAGAGTTTATACAAATTACCCATGTATCAAGAGTTGAAGAGAAGAAGAAAAGAAGATCTGTAACTCTTCTTCTAAAGTATATTCAGTGGAGCTTTTCAAATCTTTCGTCTTGTCATTGGCGTTGTCATTCCCGAAAATATTCAATGAGAAAAATCATTCATATTCAGTTGTACTGTTCATTGATTGGAGGAAACTTAAAGGCTTTTATCTCAATGATATGGCAAGAAAGTCATTCTCGAGTGGTTCCTGGCAGGATGGGGTCTCTTCCACTAGGTCTTCCTTATCTTCAACTTCAAGCGACCCGACCGATTACTTTCCCACAACCACCATTGATAAACACACAGATCGAGTTCCTTGGATCATCAACCATGTATTAGAGTGCCATCTATCCTCTGAACTTCCTTTGAAAATAATGTTCTCCTTTAATGCAGGTATGTGAACGCTTATTCAAGCTTCTTCTCTCTTCCCATTGTTGGCCAAAGTCGGGTCGCATTCCGACCTGGTTTCTCAAAACAAAAGCTGACTTGATTAAATAATTAGGGCATCGGGTGCCAACATTGAAGGAAGCACAAAAATGGTGGCAGTACGAACCAAAGGGAACAGCTATCATACACTTTTTAATCTCATTGGAAAAATCAAAGCCAGAGAATAAGGAAGACTCAACCAGCAAACCTGGAAATGTTAAAGAGAATAAAATCAGTGAAGCTGAAGTTACTAAAGAGGACAAATCCAGAAAACCTGATGATTTTAAGGATGAAAACATTAAATCAACAATTCGAAACCATGCTGCTTATGACCCTTTCATGGATGCTTCAAACGAAGCCCTTCTTGATATCGACTTTGAATCAGAGCTTCCAGATGGCAGACGAGCAAATAGAGGGCTGCCACCTGATTTCATTAGGAAGTGGTGCTTGGATAGAGTATTTACAAAAGATGAAGATCAGGTGGATTTTGATCAGGCTCTCACTGGCATTGACTATCTCCAAGATCTTGAATGCCGAAGACGAGAGGCTCTTAGAGAAGTTGCTTTGCGTTTGAAAATTGACAAGCACAATTGGAGAAGAATTTTGAGTGCTGATCCTGATGCCAAAAAATGGGTAGAAGATATTCAAGCTCAAGAGACGATTATCGAAGGCTTCTATGCTACTTGCTTTGTTGATCTACGAATCTGGGTATGCGAATATGCCTCTTCAAGATCATTGGTCATGCTGACCCTTCATTTGATAGACAATGCTCCATGAACTTAAAGCTCATCCATTTTATAAGCCGAATGCTCTCGCCATGCTCAATACATTATATCCACCATGTATTCGAGATCTCCCAAATGATCGCATTGATCGCGAAAAATTACGAAAGCATCGAGCCAAGTTCTATAATCTCATCATCCAGGTGACGCACGAAGGTATCGAAGCTTTGAAAGAGTTTGAAACCCTCTTAAAGAACCCTGCATGCAAGCATAATTGGGTTGATACTCGAGAGAACTTGAGAGATTACATTGAGCTAGCCAGTAAGATGATCGAGCAATCTAACGCTATACACGACATTATGTTCTTCAAGAGAAGCGCTGCAATAGCATACAGTATACGATCCGCACACTCTAGAAGCACAACCGCATCCTCATCCACATCAGCTCGTACTGAACGCCAAAGCGACCAAAAAGAAAAATCAGTCACGGTAAAGAATACTGCTTTCGATTCAGAAAAGCCAGCTCCTCGGCATCATTCACAGAGCACAACGGGGAGCAGGAACAGCAAGGAAGATACATCACACCTGGCCACCTCAAACTCAATGAATGAGCCTCAAAAAACTGACAGGGCTGAGGCAAAAGTACACAGTCGAAAAAGGTTGGCATCTCCAAAAAGTCAACACGAATATCGTGAAGAATATCACACCATACCAATGAATGCGCCAAGAACGTCCTGTTCAGTAGTGAAAACCCCTAAAATTCCCGATGCTCAAAGCTTCTCAAGCTCAAGGTCATCAAATGGAGATGGGAGAGAATCGGTGCACAGCCAGCAAAGGATACTTCAATTAAACACACCGTTCATGGAACAATTCTCCGAAGCGGCACATCATAGCAGTTTCCAAACTTGGGTTCCATTGAAAGATCAACAGAAGATGTCGCCGTTACGTCTAAAATCATTTCCTGATCCGTGGTCGAGAGGTCCTCCTAAACCAAAGTATCAGCTTCGTCCACAAAAGTTATCTGAAGATGAGAAACTTCTGAGAGTTTTGTGCCGGCCAGAAGCCCCAGTGGAAAGAAGGGCATCTTTCCCGAATGGTGTTCCAAGTTCATCCTCACGAGCAAGGACTTCCAGTTTTGCTTCCAAAAAAGTAAAGTCTCGCGGAATGTACAAAGACGGCGGTGCGACTTCAGTTGAAACTTTGCGGGCTGGCTCTTCAACACACGTTTCGCAACACGGCTCTTCGAGTGGACTCGGTCCAATGAAGCAAGTTGAGCATGTCTTGAAAGATTGTGAGGATTCATAATAAGTCCACTAAATCACTTATTAATATCTTACTAAATAAGAGATATCTTGATGACTAATACACATATAATATGATCTTATATTATAAAATCATATTATCATATAGTTGTATAATAGTATCTCTTATCAAATTGATTTATAATGGAATAGAATGAAATGGAACTAGATGGAAGTATACAGGAAATATCGCTAAATTGATTGGTTGTACTTTCTTTTTATTATCTAAAATGATTCTATAAGATACGATTTAAATCGATCTTATTTATAAGCATAGAATATACTAGAATTTCATTATAAACTATATAAACCTAGAATATCTTTAAAGAAAATCTAGGAAAAAGCAAGCAATTCATCTCAACTCAGCCTAGCTCTTCTAAATTGACTTCAATTCAACTCTTATTCTATATATTCGATTTATCCCTCAAGCTTAAACTGACTAGATCTTCCACTATCATTATAATAATACTATTCCTTATTATTATAAAAGCTAACCTCCAAGAGGTTATGAGCCCGGCTAGTCTAAACTAGCTTAAAAAGGGAATTAGCTTGATTTAAGGCTGTATATCATATATATACCGCTATTGAGCTGTCGAATATCGAATTTTCGAATCAATTCAATCGAATTCATATCGAAAAACACTACATATAGACCCTGAGGCCTGCGTCCCTGAAGCTAAACCTAATTGAGCGTATAAAATTAGGTCCCTAGACGATATATTTATGCTATATTGCTACCCATAGCGGGTGATATATCAATATTCTTCATACCAAGGTGCCCTAGCTTATTTAGTCTTTATTTTATACCAAATAAGATAAAGATCTAATTTAAGAGGTGGCTGGTCTATTCGATCCTCGAGACTAAAATCGATTTTAAATCGATTTATTCACCTGATCCATTCAAGCCCTGAAACTAGCTAAATATTTAGACTAGTATTTAACCAGTATATAAGACCAATTAGTCTATAAAGGACTTAAAATGGCTCCTGGTATTAATTTTAAATCTGATCCTCTAAAAGGCAGATCTAATTATATTGAATGGATTAACCGAGCTAAGCTCTTTCTGGAAATAAATGGCTTTATGCCATATATCGACGGTACAGAAGTTCCACCCAATAAAAGTCTATATATAGACAAATCAGGAGAGCCTATTTCACCTGAATTAGCCATAAAATATAATGAAAGGCTTTCAGAATATCAGAGAAACGAAAGAAAGGCACTAGGAGCTATTAAATCTATAATTAGCTTCGAATTAGTCGAAAGATTCAAGAATAAAACTTCGGCTAAAAGCCTATGGGACTCCATTAATAAGATGTTTGGAGAGTCTTCCATCGAATTAATGGGAAGATACCTAAATAGGCTAATAGAATCTAATTATACTAGCTCAGAAGGAATGGACGAATATACTAATTCGATCCAATCATCGTATAATTACCTAAAATCGATGAATTTCGACATTCCGGATGCCTTTATAGTATGGTTTCTTTTTAGAGGCCTACCTAGCTCTTTCGACAGCTTTGCCTCTCGAAAATACGAAGAACTAGCTAAAAATACGGCTAGTATTGATCTGGATAAGCTCTTTTCGGAGCTAATATCCGAAGAGGCTAGAATGCGATCTAATATCGACCTAAATGCTAATAAAACAAGCTTTAATAAAGCTCCCTATTGCAAGCATTGCTCTAAAAAGGGACATTTAGAGTCGAAATGCTTCATAAAATACCCTGAATTAAAGACCAATAAAGGGGATAATAAGAAGCATTTTAAGTCGAATCCGAATAGAAATTCGAATAAAAATTCGAATAAAGATTCGAATAAAGATTCGAATAAACCCATCTCTAGCAAGCAACTAATGGCTGTAGACCATTATATAGGCTTAGCTAATCAATCTCTTGGATCTAAATATAAATTTATATTAGATTCGGGTGCTACAGAACATTATTCACCCAATAGGGAATGGTTTATAAACTATAAGCCATTAAACAATCATTCCATCACTGTAGCTAATGGGGAAAAGCTTCGTATTAATGGTATAGGAGATATTCCTATTCTAATTAATAATAAATCAGAGGTGCTACTGCAGGGGGTGTATTATATTCCCAATATAGCCTCCAATCTTATCAGTTCGAATAAAATAGCCCAAAAAGGGTGGGCTAGTCACATTGTTCCCCCGGGAAATAAGATCGATATTATTCATAAAGAGGCTAATATACGAACTACAGCTCCCTGGCTAATTGATGCATATTACCTTAATTTTAAGGTGGATTCTAAATGTCTTAAAAGCATCAATACCCCTGAAATGGAAGAGGAATCAACTCAAGAATCGAATTTATTATTAAATAAAGTCGATCTCAACCTAATCCATAAGAGATTAGGCCATATAAATAAGGATTATATTATTAAATCCTTGAATATCCAATCAGATGTAGCTAAATCTGATTTAGAGGCATGTGAATCATGCAAATTCGGCAAATTCCATCAGAAAATAAGCAAGGAACCCTCGGAAATCCCTGAAATAAGCTCTAAATTCGAAAAATTCAGTCTAGATATAGCTGGACCCTTTAGAACTACAGGGATTAAAGGTGAAAAATACTTTCTAGCATTCACAGATTGGGCCACTAGAGCTATTTGGGTATATCCCATTAAATTCAAATCCCAGGCCTATGATATTCTAATAGAATTCTACAATCTAATTAGAAATCAGTTTAATATTAGTATTAAAATACTAAGATTAGACAATGCTCTTGAATTCCTTTCGAATAAATGGTCGGATTTTATTCGAAATCACGGGATTATATGCGAATATATTAGCCCGTACGCTCATTCCCAGAATGGAATAGCCGAGATACTAAACAGATATATAGTTGAAAGACTAATCTGTTTAATTAAAGAGAAAGAGATTCCACTCTATTTATGGCCATACCTAGTTAAAGCCATCGCTCATATCAAGAATAGAACATATAATAGTTCTATTAATACTTCACCATTCGAATTAATATATAATAAGAAGCCCGATCTAAGCTACATTAGAATCCTAGGCTCTCTTACTTATATTATTAATAATAAAGAAATTCGCATGGAAAACTGGATTCTAGAGCTCGGAAAGGCATACTAGTAGGCTTTTGATTCGTCTAATAATTATTTGGTCTATATTCCGGCCAATAAGAGAGTGATTAGCTCGAGAGATGTCGATATTCAAGAAGATCTTATATATTCTAATGAATATAAAAACCAAGATCTAAAGCTATTGGAAGAAGAAGACCTCGAATTTCAACCTATTCAAGATAATATAGAGGATGAAGACACCACTAGCACCATAGGCATCAAGCTAATCCCGAAATGGACGAAAACAGCGAAAGTGACGAAACAATCGACTGTATAGAGGTCAATCCCGGTGAGCCTACGCCCGGTGAACCTACGCTTGATGAGCCAATAGAACCTACTATACGGCAATCTAAGCGTATAAGAGGTCTAATTCCTGATAATAAAGGCCTTGCTGACGATGGAAAACACGTGATTTCCTATTATGGACTTGCTTTTTCCGGGTACTTCAATTCAATCAATAAGGGGGTGAATATCGAAATAGATCAACAAGATCTTCAATTAGCTTTCGATACCAGGCTTAAAAATAATAAAAAGATCATTATTAATAAGCCAGATCGCGTATTGATTGAACCTAAGTCCTATAAAGAAGCTATTAGCTCTTTGGAAAAGGAATACTGGCTAAAAGCTATGGAATACGAAATAAACACCCTTGAATCCAATAGAACTTGGATATTATTGATAATCCTAATAATAATAAAACCCTAAGGACTAGATGGGTATATAAAATAAAGGATTCAGGTGAATTCATTGAATTCAAAGCTAGATTCGTCGCTAAAGGATTCGAACAGCTATATGGATTAGGACTATATTGATACGCATGCATCGGTAGTTAAATCGATGGTATGGAAGCTCTTATTCGTATTAGCTCTTCAAAACGATTGGCTAATTCATAAAATCGACATGGTGCTAGCGTTTGCACAAGGCAATATCGATACACCACTCTTATTAAGTCCACCAGAAGGATTTAGCGAACTAAAGAATAAAGCTTTAAAGCTAATAAAGCTTTATATGGCCTAAAACAGTCGGCCAGGATATGGTATCATACCCTAAAAGACGTATTAAATAAATTAGGCTTTATAAACCTAATCTCCAAGGAATGCATTTTTATTAATAAAAATAAGAATGTGATTCTAAGTGTATACGTCGACGATATTGCTATAATAGCCCCAAATCAAGAGATTATTAATGAATTTATTAATAATCTAAAGGAATACTTCGATCTAAAGATCTAGGTCCTATAAAGGACTATCTAGGCATTCAAATCGAAAGGACTAGCAATACACTAAAGCTACACCAATCAGAGTACACTAAAAAGGTGCTGGCTAGGTTCAATATGCTAGATTCCAATCCTGTTTCTACTCCAATGGACCCGAAAATAAAGCTAATTCATAATAAAGAGAAAGCTAATAATGATGATATTAAACTATATCAAGAAATTATAGGCTCCTTATTATACTTAGCTCTCGGAACTAGACTAGATATAGTATTTTCCATATCTAGATTAGCTAGTTTCTCTTCCAATCCTAGTGCAGAACATATTCAAGCCACTAAAAGAGTACTGAGATACTTGAAAGGAACTATAAATAAGGGTACAAGTTATAATAAAATTAAAAACCCTTATATTCAAGGATTCTGCGACGCCGACTATGGAGGGGAGATCAATACGTATAAATCCACTAGCGGATACGTATTTATGCTAGGGAATGGGCCTATTAGTTGGAAATCTAAACTACAGCCGGTAGTAGCCCTTTCTACAGCCGAATCTGAATTCATTGCTATAAACCTAGCTGCTAAAGAGGCTGTTTATATTAAAAAGCTACTATTAGAGCTTAATCTATATAAGCAAAATAAATTTCCTCTATACACGGATAATCAGGCCGCACTAGCGCTTGCTAAGAACCCTATATTCCACGAAAGAAGCAAGCATATAGCAATCAGATTCTACTATATTAGAGATATTATTAAATCAGGGGATTTAGACCTAATTTATATATCTACTAATGAACAGAAGCTGATGGGCTTACTAAACCATTAGCTCGAATCAAATTGATCGAATTCACGAATCAGATCAATCTGAATTAAGATATATAATAAGATTGATTTAATGCACCTATTAAGGGGGTGTGTGAGGATTCATAATAAGTCCACTAAATCACTTATTAATATCTTACTATCACGGAGGTAATAGCTATGTCTAAT